ACATGGCAGATTCAGATTCAGTTATACGCATCTAGATGCCAGCGTGCAATTGTGAGTGGGTAGTGACGGGTAGTGTGCCTCAGTTCCAGCTCAGCAGACTTTGAATTCAGCGCGCCCGCTGGAGCCGTCTGTTCATACATAGTTCATGAACGTGTTCTCAGAAATGTGCCCGGGCGCCGTCCAAAGCCACGTCAGGGAAGTTCATTGGAGATCTAATACAAGTCTGTTCTTAGACCATGGGAAGGCTCCGTATCGTCGGCATTGGACCATTGGAGCCCTTGGGACATGAAAGATAGATAAAGGTGGCATGTTCGACGACGGAGTTCTTGATCAGTTCGTTGCAGCACGGGTGGTCATTTCTGAGAGCACATGTCTCACCAGGGCTTGGCACCCAAGAGCCTGGCCGTTAATGATTGGAGCTGTTGCTCACTTCAGCCTGTTAGAGACGGCCTCCACTACTGTCTGCCGTACGGATACGCTTCAGCCAGGGCTCAGCCAGAGTCCAGCCAGAGTTCAGCCGGGGTTCAGACGTGGTGTGCAATCCAGGAGGAGGCAGCTGCGGCTGAAGCGCGGTACCAGGAGCTCCTGAAGATAGGCGCGGCTTGCGACTTCTTGCCTGACATTTGACATTCTGAATAATTTATGGCTTCTACGAGCCGGTGATTTCCCAGGCTTTCGATTGTCGAGCTTCGGGGATTAGTGTGAATCTGAGTAGTAAATGCGAGACACAACTAATCCCAAACCTCAAGCCCTCGAAGCTAATCTTCTGGACTCTCTTTAGGGTGGCGCCCGCCAACCTGGGCAAACTCCCCAAAGTTGGCCCCAAAGCTCTCACGGGCCCCCGATGCCCCAGGCAGCGCCGTGGATCCACGAAAGCGGGAGGTGGCTCAACTACGGTTGGCATTTCAGATTGTTGTTTTTGGTATCAGGGTCCACTGTTGATTGTCGAAGGACCTGGGCATGTTCAGGCATTTCAGCACACAGTTGCCCGAACCCCTTGGAAGCATCCGAGCTCCGGTGCCTAAGTTGCTAAGAGCAGCCGGCCATACACTCTGTTCTACGGGCATAGTCGTGTTGCATCTTCGATGAACTCTTGGGCCAGGATTGGTACGATCGCTTGGCCTGGTGGACGGATGTCAAGGACGAGTGTCCATTCTTGCTCACAAGGGTACACAGCTTGCATGCGTCACATTGCTTGGAACGCATGGTGCTTGCAATCCTCACCCAAACACAATATACGCACCCAAACACGATATTTCACACACACACACACACACCCACACACCCACACACCCACACACACACACACACACACACACACACACACACACACACACACACACACACACACACACACACACACACACACACACACACACACACACACACACACACACACACACACACACACACACACACACACACACACACACACACACACACACACACACACCCACACACACACACACACACACACACACACACACCACACACACACACACACACACACACACAACACACACACACACACACACACACACACACACACACACACACACACACACACACACACACACACACACACACACACACACACACACACACACACACACACACACACACACACACCACACACACACACACACACACACACACACACACACACACACACACACACACACACACACACACACACACACACACACACACACACACACACACACACACACACACACACACACACACACACACACACACACACACACACACACACACACACACACCACACACACACCCACACACACACACCACACACCCACACACACACACACCCACACCCACACCCACACCCACACCCACACCCACACCCACACCCACACGCACACGCACACGCACACGCACACGCACACGCACACGCACACGCACACGCACACGCACACGCACACGCACACGCACACGCACACGCACACGCACACGCACACGCACACGCACACGCACACGCACACTCGCTCGCTCGCTCGCTCGCTCGCTCTCACTATGCTATACCCCTTTCATGCTCAGGAACGCAAACAGCCTGGCCTGGCATAGCCAACGCCTCAAGAGCAGGAGATCCCGATTCCCGATTTCCACTCATAGCCCATGGCGCGAGTCCTTCGAAGTGTGGTGGCAGCCGCGTCCACCGCAGCCGCGGCAGCTGTCTTCCATGTGCCCCTTCAGAAGCGGGAGCTCACGTTTGAGGAGACCCTCGACTCGGTGAACATGGGCGTTCAGAAGTGGGAAGCCCGCCTGGGGGCCAAGGGCGGCGAAGACCCCGTGATCATCGACGACTACATGAATGCACAGTACTACGGCGAGGTCGAGGTGGGCACCCCAGGACAGAAAGAGATGGTGGTCTTTGACACCGGCTCTGCAAATCTTTGGGTCCCCAACACCCGTCCCTTTCTGTCCAGCCACAACATCTATGATCATTCCAAGTCGTCCACTTACAAGAAGAATGGCACGACCTTCGCCATTCAGTATGGCTCCGGGCCAGTCTCCGGTGTGTTTTCTGCGGATGACATCACCATCGGCGACTTGAAGCTGAAGGACTACACCTTTGCGGAGGTGGACAAGACATCGGGCTTGGGCTTGGGCTACCGCCTGGGCAAGTTCGACGGCATTCTCGGCCTGGGATGGGACTCGATCTCCGTTGGGCACGTGCCGACGCCCATGAATGCCCTGGTGGCGTCGGGCCAGCTCCCCAAGCCCATTTTCGCTTTCTACCTGGGCAACAACCAGCCGGGTGAGCTGCTCTTTGGCGGCGTGGACCCCAAGCACTACACCGGTGACTTTGCCTTCGTGCCTCTCAGCTCTGAAACCTACTGGCAGATCAATCTGGATGCTGTGAAGCTGGGCTCTGATTCCATGTCGAGTACGAAGAGCGCCATTGTGGATTCGGGCACTTCCTTGCTTGCCGGGCCCAAGGATGAAGTGGCCAAGATTGCTGCGAAGCTGGGTGCGAAGTCCATCCTGGGCAAGGAGTATGTTGTCGACTGCAGTGCCAAGCTGCCGGACCTTACCTTCACCTTGGGCGGCAAGGACTACACCCTCTCGCAACCCGACCTGATCCTGCAGCAGTCTGGCTCGCAGTGCATCCTCGGCTTGACCGGCATCGATGTCCCCGCGCCCCGAGGACCTCTCTGGATCCTGGGTGACGTCTTCATGCGCAAGTTCTACGTGCAGTTCGACTGGGGCCAGAAGCGCCTTGGCTTCGCCAAAGCCGCCCAAGCAGAGTCGCAAGCACAGACTCTTCGCGTGCCCCTTCAGAAGCGGGAGCTCACGTTTGAGGAGACCCTCGACTCGGTGAACATGGGCGTTCAGAAGTGGGAAGCCCGCCTGGGGGCCAAGGGTGGCGAAGACCCCGTGATCATCGACGACTACATGAATGCACAGTACTACGGCGAGGTCGAGGTGGGCACCCCAGGACAGAAAGAGATGGTGGTCTTTGACACCGGCTCTGCAAATCTTTGGGTCCCCAACACCCGTCCCTTTCTGTCCAGCCACAACATCTATGATCATTCCAAGTCGTCAACTTACAAGAAGAATGGCACGACCTTCGCCATTCAGTATGGCTCCGGGCCAGTCTCCGGTGTGTTTTCTGCGGATGACATCACCATCGGCGACTTGAAGCTGAAGGACTACACCTTTGCAGAGGTGGACAAGACATCGGGCTTGGGCTTGGGCTACCGCCTGGGCAAGTTCGACGGCATTCTCGGCCTGGGATGGGACTCGATCTCCGTTGGGCACGTGCCGACGCCCATGAATGCCCTGGTGGCGTCGGGCCAGCTCCCCAAGCCCATTTTCGCTTTCTACCTGGGCAACAACCAGCCGGGTGAGCTGCTCTTTGGCGGCGTGGACCCCAAGCACTACACCGGTGACTTTGCCTTCGTGCCTCTCAGCTCTGAAACCTACTGGCAGATCAATCTGGATGCTGTGAAGCTGGGCTCTGATTCCATGTCGAGTACGAAGAGCGCCATTGTGGATTCGGGCACTTCCTTGCTTGCCGGGCCCAAGGATGAAGTGGCCAAGATTGCTGCGAAGCTGGGTGCGAAGTCCATCCTGGGCAAGGAGTATGTTGTCGACTGCAGTGCCAAGCTGCCGGACCTTACCTTCACCTTGGGCGGCAAGGACTACACCCTCTCGCAACCCGACCTGATCCTGCAGCAGTCTGGCTCGCAGTGCATCCTCGGCTTGACCGGCATCGATGTCCCCGCGCCCCGAGGACCTCTCTGGATCCTGGGTGACGTCTTCATGCGCAAGTTCTACGTGCAGTTCGACTGGGGCCAGAAGCGCCTTGGCTTCGCCAAAGCCGCCCAAGCAGCTTCTGTTCTGATGGTGTGAGGCTACCCTTGAAGCGACCTGACTGAGACAGCAGCTCGCTTTGACTGTGAACCTGCAGCCCTGTCCAGGTTGAGAGAAGGGGCGCAGGGCAGGACTCTCCTTACAGCATGCAGCCATGGCTGCATTTGTGTTAGCTGACCCAACATCCAAGGAACTCTGGAATACCCAGGGGGTGTGACAATATCGCAAGTTCGGTTGTTTACAGTTTAGATATCGCCGGCGAGAGACAGTCTCGTCCAGGTACATATTGGGTCGGCAGTTAACACCCAGTCCACACGCAATCCTTCCTTTGAAAACTGGTGCCGTGTGACGGCGTGGGAGCTGGCAGTGGCTTCTTGAGCCAGCTGGCCCCACTCGATCTAGGCATTTGGCCCCCGCGGCTGCCAGCAAAGAAGCGTTGCAGCTGTGCCCGATGATGGAAAACATTGAGTGACTAGTTGCAATCACTTTTCACCATGAGATGCACAGGTGGCTGCCATTGCTTGCTAGTCTGTAGCAAAGTACAAGAAGATCTGACGTAGCTGTTTAGACCCACTGTGCTGGCATTCCATTCCCACTTGAGCAGGAGCCCGATTCCCGTTTTAGGGAGTTAATAGAGAGCCTTCTTCCACTTATTGCCCATGGCGCGAGTCCTTCGAAGTGTGGTGGCAGCCGCGTCCACCGCAGCCGCGGCAGCTGTCTTCCATGTGCCCCTTCAGAAGCGGGAGCTCACGTTTGAGGAGACCCTCGACTCGGTGAACATGGGCGTTCAGAAGTGGGAAGCCCGCCTGGGGGCCAAGGGCGGCGAAGACCCCGTGATCATCGACGACTACATGAATGCACAGTACTACGGCGAGGTCGAGGTGGGCACCCCAGGACAGAAAGAGATGGTGATCTTTGACACCGGCTCTGCAAATCTTTGGGTCCCCAACACCCGTCCCTTTCTGTCCAGCCACAACATCTATGATCATTCCAAGTCGTCCACTTACAAGAAGAATGGCACGACCTTCGCCATTCAGTATGGCTCCGGGCCAGTCTCCGGTGTGTTTTCTGCGGATGACATCACCATCGGCGACTTGAAGCTGAAGGACTACACCTTTGCAGAGGTGGACAAGACATCGGGCTTGGGCTTGGGCTACCGCCTGGGCAAGTTCGACGGCATTCTCGGCCTGGGATGGGACTCGATCTCCGTTGGGCACGTGCCGACGCCCATGAATGCCCTGGTGGCGTCGGGCCAGCTCCCCAAGCCCATTTTCGCTTTCTACCTGGGCAACAACCAGCCGGGTGAGCTGCTCTTTGGCGGCGTGGACCCCAAGCACTACACCGGTGACTTTGCCTTCGTGCCTCTCAGCTCTGAAACCTACTGGCAGATCAATCTGGATGCTGTGAAGCTGGGCTCTGATTCCATGTCGAGTACGAAGAGCGCCATTGTGGATTCGGGCACTTCCTTGCTTGCCGGGCCCAAGGATGAAGTGGCCAAGATTGCTGCGAAGCTGGGTGCGAAGTCCATCCTGGGCAAGGAGTATGTTGTCGACTGCAGTGCCAAGCTGCCGGACCTTACCTTCACCTTGGGCGGCAAGGACTACACCCTCTCGCAACCCGACCTGATCCTGCAGCAGTCTGGCTCGCAGTGCATCCTCGGCTTGACCGGCATCGATGTCCCCGCGCCCCGAGGACCTCTCTGGATCCTGGGTGACGTCTTCATGCGCAAGTTCTACGTGCAGTTCGACTGGGGCCAGAAGCGCCTTGGCTTCGCCAAAGCCGCCCAAGCAGAGTCGCAAGCACAGACTCTTCGCGTGCCCCTTCAGAAGCGGGAGCTCACGTTTGAGGAGACCCTCGACTCGGTGAACATGGGCGTTCAGAAGTGGGAAGCCCGCCTGGGGGCCAAGGGTGGCGAAGACCCCGTGATCATCGACGACTACATGAATGCACAGTACTACGGCGAGGTCGAGGTGGGCACCCCAGGACAGAAAGAGATGGTGGTCTTTGACACCGGCTCTGCAAATCTTTGGGTCCCCAACACCCGTCCCTTTCTGTCCAGCCACAACATCTATGATCATTCCAAGTCGTCCACTTACAAGAAGAATGGCACGACCTTCGCCATTCAGTATGGCTCCGGGCCAGTCTCCGGTGTGTTTTCTGCGGATGACATCACCATCGGCGACTTGAAGCTGAAGGACTACACCTTTGCGGAGGTGGACAAGACATCGGGCTTGGGCTTGGGCTACCGCCTGGGCAAGTTCGACGGCATTCTCGGCCTGGGATGGGACTCGATCTCCGTTGGGCACGTGCCGACGCCCATGAATGCCCTGGTGGCGTCGGGCCAGCTCCCCAAGCCCATTTTCGCTTTCTACCTGGGCAACAACCAGCCGGGTGAGCTGCTCTTTGGCGGCGTGGACCCCAAGCACTACACCGGTGACTTTGCCTTCGTGCCTCTCAGCTCTGAAACCTACTGGCAGATCAATCTGGATGCTGTGAAGCTGGGCTCTGATTCCATGTCGAGTACGAAGAGCGCCATTGTGGATTCGGGCACTTCCTTGCTTGCCGGGCCCAAGGATGAAGTGGCCAAGATTGCTGCGAAGCTGGGTGCGAAGTCCATCCTGGGCAAGGAGTATGTTGTCGACTGCAGTGCCAAGCTGCCGGACCTTACCTTCACCTTGGGCGGCAAGGACTACACCCTCTCGCAACCCGACCTGATCCTGCAGCAGTCTGGCTCGCAGTGCATCCTCGGCTTGACCGGCATCGATGTCCCCGCGCCCCGAGGACCTCTCTGGATCCTGGGTGACGTCTTCATGCGCAAGTTCTACGTGCAGTTCGACTGGGGCCAGAAGCGCCTTGGCTTCGCCAAAGCCGCCCAAGCAGCTTCTGTTCTGATGGTGTGAGGCTACCCTTGAAGCGACCTGACTGAGACAGCAGCTCGCTTTGACTGTGAACCTGCAGCCCTGTCCAGGTTGAGAGAAGGGGCGCAGGGCAGGACTCTCCTTACAGCATGCAGCCATGGCTGCATTTGTGTTAGCTGACCCAACATCCAAGGAACTCTGGAATACCCAGGGGGTGTGACAATATCGCAAGTTCGGTTGTTTACAGTTTAGATATCGCCGGCGAGAGACAGTCTCGTCCAGGTACATATTGGGTCGGCAGTTAACACCCAGTCCACACGCAATCCTTCCTTTGAAAACTGGTGCCGTGTGACGGCGTGGGAGCTGGCAGTGGCTTCTTGAGCCAGCTGGCCCCACTCGATCTAGGCATTTGGCCCCCGCGGCTGCCAGCAAAGAAGCGTTGCAGCTGTGCCCGATGATGGAAACCATTGAGTGACTAGTTGCAATCACTTATGCCACCATGAGATGCGCAGGTGGCTGCCATTGCTTGCTAGTCTGTAGCAAAGTACCATGTTTTCTCAAGACGACACTTGGAATCCAACTTGGAACAGCCACGGTGGCCTTTCACATCCTATTGTAAATCGGGCAAGAACATCTGACATAGCTGTTTAGACCCACTGTGTTTGCATTCCCACTTGCTTTGGCAGACAAGTGAGGCTACGGACTACCCTTCTTGACGCACGAAACCTGACAACACCGATACCTGAACGACTGCGCAGACGAAGACCGGCGCCCGTGTGTTCGTCCTGGCACCGCGTGGCCCAAGGGGCGAAACTGAGGCGCGCTCATTGTTGGCACATCCGTGTGGGAGGTCAGTCCCGGGCTTGTTTGTTTTGCAGCATATTCCCCGGCCATCTGGCACTATTAGACATGCGACAGGAAGCTTGTAAAGGTGCTGAACTTTGGCTTTGCCGGCTGTCGTGCCCAGTATTGCATACCTGCGGCTCAGTTTGAGTAAGGCGAGGCGACCCGAAAGAGAGGAAGTCATGAAGATGACGTTTGAGAGCTCATCACAGTTGGAACTACGCTTACAAAGCTGCAAACGTACCTTGCTCGCTTAGGGGCATAGGGGCATAGGGGCATAGGGGCTTGCTTTTGTTCTGAACACTCCTGCCGAGTGGGGCATCAACATGCACGAGCTCCTTGCCTATGCACTGTCGAAGATGCATCGAGTGGTCGCTGAAGAGGTGTGGCCCGGTGTCTGAACTGGGATGTACGAGCATGTGCTGCATGCTACATTCGTGGCATTGGGGCATGTTTATTCAGTGACGTCTAGCCGCTACTCTGCGGATCCGGTGCTCGCACCCAGCCACTTTAACAAGAGTGCGTCAAGCCTGACTGTACACCATCTCTTGCAGAGTTCACGAAAAGCGCTGCAGGATACACGCTTTGCAGTGGTTTGGGTCCAACTCAGCGACCATCGGGTCAGGAGCTCAGGCTCCTGAGTGAATTAAAAAAAAACATGGCTCTGACTTTACTAGCAAGATTGAGGCATACTTGTAAGATTTTGTAGGCTGTTTTTTGAAGTTCCTTCGCGCTTCGAGTCGAGAGGTTATCATGTCCCCAGGCCTCCAATGGTCTCCTTCCGATTTGAGTGAAGTCAGCATTTAAGTTCCTCACAAGTGGCGGCGGTGCAGGAAGGTGCAGGTCTAGGGTATGCGGCGCTGCCTCTGAGGGCTGAGAGGTGCGAATCAGGTGAGCCTCGATTCGTCCAGGTCGGCCCTTTGCAGTGCTTCCGATTTGCGGAGAGCCTCCACGAGAGGCCAGCGTTGAAGAGAGATCAGATCTGCTTGACGCACACTGCTAAGCCCATCGCTCGACAAGAAGCATGGTTTTCCCAGTCAAGATGTACATGTGCCAGCTCATGCAAATACATTTATCACAACCTAGGAATTGAACCCAACTAGAGCAGGTTCATTCAAGTGCAAGAACCCGTGCAAACGTTTAAGTATGAGCCATGAAGTTAAAGAAAGTGGAGATTACATGCACGATTGCGGAAAGTACGAGTGTCAATCAGAACAAACAACCTGGCGTGGCGAGTGCAACTTCGACCGACGCCAAGGTTTTCGAAGCGTTTTGTGATTTTGTGACATTTTTGTGGCTACCGAGTTCAGGTATGCCGCCAACCTCGAGGCCGCCGGTGCTCAAGGTGTTGGAAGGTGTTGCGAAAAACTTTATAAGGTGTCACGATTCGGTGAGAGTCGTCGCTCCTTAGGAGTCTTGAGAGGCCTAAACTTGCGCAACAAATCACACGTGAAGTGGAGTGGAGTGAGGCCACCAAGTGGAGCCCAAACTGCCACGCCTCACTTGTCGGCACTTGTCGGCATTCTGGGCGCAGGCGATCCATGTGGTTCATCCCTCTTGGACGACTCGCATTCTCAGGCGGGGAGCCCCGGAAAGCCCCTTGACAAGGAATTTCCGAGCGATTCTGCTTCGAGCAGGCCGCAATTCGTTGCTGCATGGCAATCGGAAGTTTCAACCCAAAGGCCAGAGCATGCTAATCCGAGCTCCTGTTTAATTGGTGGGGGCCCCCCCCCCCACAATAAGGAAAGCAGGGTTCCGCAATAGTTGGACCATGGCCCCGTATGGTTTCTCTATTAAAAAACAATAAGAACGTATTGAAAACAATAGGATTGTATAGAATCTCTATTAAAACTGAATAAAAGCTTTCCAAAAGGCAGAGTTTCAAAATTTGACAACCCCCCCCAAAAAAATTCTTTAAATGTGGAGGGTTTGGCCCATACGAAATCCATCGTAATGGAAAGTAGTCTTCCGGCGGGAATCCGGGCAACAAAAATTTCTTTAAATATGGGGGGTTAAATTAAACAGGAGCTCGGATTAGGCTATTCTCCTGCCAGCACAAATTGGCCCAGCATGCACTCTCGCCCCAGGTTGGTGCTGTGGCCCCTTGCTAGCGAGGTGCAGCCGAACGTGATTTCTTGAAGGGGCTGTGCCGTTGTCGACATCAACAAGTACAGCAAGCATAGACTTGGACTCTAGGTGGTAGAGGTGGCCAGGTCATTATGCTGGCAGTTGGCGTAGCATGATATTGGGCAGCCCCCTGAGCCCATAAACCGCCCACGCTGCCCACGCCCAGAAAATCGCAAAGTCAGAGCATTCAGGAGTTCTGGGACTACTTTCACTCCCATGAGCGGATCGAGTTCCTGGATGTGGCGATGGACATGAGGGCACGCACACCCCGGTCACACCCCCCCTCACCCCACCCCGCTGTCGTGCTTGGATCTGGCGTCTTGTTTTCGGGATCCTCCGATGGTCCGCGATTTATGCCAGCAGGAGTCCTGCGTTACGGTGATGTCTTTAGAGGTCTTGACCCTTCAACACTGGAAGCTTCCTCGAATGCGCCGCAGACAGTCATAACTCTTCTCACCTTCCGCACCCTGCCCCACCCAGACTTCTGTCCACAAAAGTCTTGGCGGCCAGAAATTTCGGTTGCCCAAAGACATCGTGGAGTACGACAAGTGGCTGGACCAGCAGGCTTGAAGCTTCATGACCGCAAAACTGAGAGAGCTCCTAAACCCTTGTTTCCCCGTTCTGAAAAAGCGTCGGAGTAAGGTGTAATTACTCATGAAGCGGGCCAGTCGTTTGTCATGCTGTGATGCATGTGGATTTTCATTACCAACCAGAAGCGCATGCTGCATGTTGCACATGTCTTGTATCGTGACTACGAACCCATTCCGCTATACATGCAATCGTGACTTGTTACGACAGTATATAGGCTAGCCTTTCCCCCCATCCGATGCTCATGAAGCCTCGAAGGGGATTCATCTCTTGCGCCGAGGTGTAGAGCTACACCGAGGTTTCAGGGCTGTCATGAGTCATGTGTGCTACATGCGCTGACAGCCTTGTACTGTACATGTTCTGTAAAGGATATTGCCAGCAAAGCTGATCGCTAGCATGCGACCAAATGTGATGTTTGGGGCTGAGACCCCTGAGGGGGCAAGATTTTCAGAGTGCCCACCCAACCCACCCTCTTCCAACCTACAGAGCTTAAACGGAAGTTTCACAAGCAGATGCTGTGAACACAACAACCCTTGCAGCTCTTGACCATCTGATCAGCTGGAGAGGCCGCAGAGCTTCACAAGCAGCAGGAGCTCGGGGGTTTCACTTCCGGACACTTCAAGCGTGAGGTTGCAACACCGTAGCCTCAGCGAGACACTCTTCCTAGATGCGCGTACCCATGAACTCTCAACTGGAGACCTCACAAGCTTTCTCGACTTCTTCAGAGACCGTTGTGGCATATTTCGGAATTTCGCAGAGTCTTGCCATCAATCCAAGGATTATCCCCCCAAACCTGAACTTATCGAAGCCTTCAGAGCAAGCAAAACGTCTTTGCAGAGTGTCAAGCAGCAGCTCTTGAATCTGAGGCGGTTAGCGAAGTTTAAAAGAGGGTTTGCAAGAAGCCACAGGGTGCTAGCAGGACAGTGAAGTTCGAAAGGTAGCTTCTATCCAAAGCAATCCACAGCTCAGAGTTGGATCCTATGAACACTCCGACCCAAAAGAACGTGGCAAAAAGGCCTGCGCCTCAGGCCATGAAGCATGGGGCGATGATGTCAGGAAGGCCCAGAAATGCTCGAAGAAAGCTCACGCAGTGCACATGCTGTGCTCGCTTTTAATTGACTCCACGATCATCTCGCGCCCTTTGCCACGTGTAGCGCTGTGAGTTTTGGCAACATGGCCGCGGGCATGGACGAGGAGAGGCAGGCGGAGGGTTCTGGCATCTCTCCTATAGGACAGAGCGACCACTTTTCCCTTTGCCATTTTGCCACTCTTGTGCCATCGCTGTGTTTCTGTGCAATGCAATGAAACCTCAACGGTGTTGTTGAGCCGTCCGTTGGTCCGCTGGGCAGTGGATGCAGCGGCTGCAGCGGGCAGGAAGAAGATGGACCAGCAAATGGAGGACATGAAGCGGGTATTGGAGCAGAAGGCAGGGACTGCATTGGATTGGGCATGCTTGCTACCATAACGGCGTAACACGATGTTGAAATGATCCCGTCGGACGCGACTGGCTGGGCTTTCTAGCTCGACCTGCAAGCTCAAAACTGGCACCACCCCTGCCTTGCAGTTGGACTTGGTCTCCCCTGCAGTGCTTCGTGCAGAGACGATCTAGGGTATCAAGCTGGGTTGAACAGGATCCGGGGTCTAGCCTGCATACGGTATGGAATAACGCGAGGCTTGTCTTTCTTTCTCAGACTGATTAGATAAACCCGGGCCACCACAGACTCCCCATCTCTCCCATTTCCTCTTTTCCCTCTCCCCTCTCCCTTGCAAAAAATTGAGAGGCAGCATGAAAACTAGCTTCTCTGTGCCTTTCCTTTCTCTGCGGAGAATTGCTACAATGTTTTTATTAATCAAAAGCAGAGAGTTTTTCTTCCGAAATGGGAGAGCGTCGTTTTTGACTTCTGAAAACGGTCCCCTGACATTTTCTTAGAAAGAAGCACTGTAGCCCTTCCTATGATTTATGGCGATGAATTCGTTTTCCGTGTATTCAGGATAATCAGAGCACACTTCACATTCTCGATAGCCGTGCTTACCCAGAAAAAACAACCACTTTGTTTTAATGAACTGCGAACCTTCCCCTGCCCCTGATTTTTTTGAACAATAACAATGGCAATCTCTTATTTTTCACAATAACAATGGCAATCTCTTCTTAAGAGATGTGAAAAGGCCGGAACAAAAGAGCCCTCTACTTCTTGACAAGGTAACCCTTAAGCTTCATCGGAATGGGAATCATTCCTCCTGTCGATGTCTTAGTGATGCTTGTCAAAATGCGAGAGTTTGTTCCTGGCGAAATGAGGGAGCTTCTCCTTTTCTTCATTCGAAACGCGCACGCCCCAGCGAACTCTGGCCTGTAGGCCTCGTGGATTCAGTCGCTGTACTTCCTTTTCCTGCTTGGGGCAACTACGTGAACTGAGGATACAGCGCGCGCTTTCTCCCCCACCCCACTCCTGTGTCCCATGTGCTCTCTTTCGAGAAGCCGCAGAACGGAGAGGAAGAAAAGATGCAATACAGGAAAGAGAAAGAAATGAGAGACCCCGAACGCCAGTCGGAAAAAACCAACACATCCCCGAGTCAGAAAAATCCTCGTCGATTTTTTGATATCGTTGAGACCGTGATGTGTTGAGCGCAGGTTCACCCAAGTGGCCCAAGACCATTTCATACGTTTTCAGAATGGTCGGAACTCGGATGTTCCATTTCACTTCGAAACATAAATGGAATTTCCTCTTTTCATTTCAACCATTTCATCCATTTTGAAATGGATGAAATGGATGAAATGGTTTGAATGGAAGCATTCTCGTCTTCCTAGATTATTCCCACCAGAAGATGCTTACATTCATAGCCGGTATAGACGATGTAGCTGTAGTGCCTGAAGCGCATCCGTTTCGACCCTGATGCCATCCCATGATTCGACTGGCAGAGGGGGCTCTAATCTTCTGGTGCAGAGGGCAGTGGACTACCTTCCCCAGAGTTTTAGTGCTCTGTCCTTTCAGTAGGACCGGAGCTGTGGTTTGGGACTCGAGTTGCTGAGGGCTACGGCTACAGCGGGAAGCAAGACTGAGCTGCTGTGGCAACCGGACATGCAAGGGAAGGAACTTGAGTCACAGGTTGAGAGTTTGAATGCATTGAGAGGACGGAGCACAGCCATGGCACAGCCATTGCAAGGGCCTTCCTGAGGACAGCCTTTCGCAACTGCCTGCGCTAATAGGATCTTTTCCGCAGAGGATGCAGATGGAAGGCTCCTTCAAGCCTAGCGACGTCCGGGAGACATCTTCTTGGGCAAAAAAGCAAAAAAGCGTGTTTGACGGATCAAGTCTGGCCATGGCTCATGGCTTGGGAATGGGTTCTGGGGCTATGAGGCCTAAGAGCCCAAGAAAAGTATCCAACGTCTCCAATGAAAGCGGCTCGGAACTTGGTCCTTCTGGAATAATCCAAGGACCCCACGTGCGCTCCACTTGGGGTTTGGGCTTCGGGCTTTAGTCTTTTTTGAGCCTCTCTCGAACTCAGGTCCCAGCCTCGTGCCAACACTCGGGGGGTCCTTGGCGTCAGAGAGTGTTTCGTTCTTGAAGCGCCACAGTGCAGAGGGGGTGCAAGAGAGCTAACGTAGCTGCGGGGATGCCTTGGGCCTCGGGATGCTTTGGGGAGGATTTGGGTGAGACTTGGAAGTCTTTTTTTCTCGTGAGAATATGTTGTGAGTGTGTGCCGCCGCCCCTCAAGATCCGCTGGCACAAGCGCCATGATGCATGACCATAGTGCTCAAGCTATCTCTCCACTGGGGTTGGTTACCTAGTCGCTTCGTTACTTGAGAAGCATCGCCAAGGCCCTCGACGACTTCGAAAAGGCTTCCGCCCTCAAATACACAGCCTTCTTGCAAAATGGATCGTGGCCGCGCTTGCTAAACTCGAGGCAAGAAATCCTTCGGAAGTAGGCCCAGAGCTGAGGAAGGCCTTACCGCCCCATCGTATTTGCTCCTGCGCCTCGGCCTTGAAGTAAAGTCGCTCCAAAAAAGCAGTAAGTTTTTCGCGGCGCCTCTGCGTTGAGCGCTCTTCAGCCCCCTCTTTCTTGCAGCAAAACTCATCTCAGAAGCTCTGCCCAAAAGCTCTGCAGCTCTGCCGCTCTGCCATGGGGCGAAACCGGCAGCAGCCACCACCAGGCTGAGCGTGCGAGTCCACAAATCAGGGCTTGAGAGCATGCTTGGAGGTTTGTTGCTTCCCGCTGTTGTTGATTCCTTTTTGAAAAGCCTTAATGGCAGGCTGCATCTCTAGGTGTAGAATCCAGGTGTTGTGTTAATAGTATCTTGAGCTTCCGAACATAGGCTGCAGATGCCATGTGTTGCAATGGCTGTACCGTCTGTGTGCTAAGTGGTGTCAGGCTCTCCTGACGACACTCGGAAAGGCAGCTGCAGTGTTAAGGGTTTGCTTCCGTCAAGGGCTTCGGGGTTCTGAGAGCTTAGACCCACCTGCATATGCTCTGTGCTTTCAGCCCGGGCTTGAACTCGTCAGTGGGACCATCGAGGCACACAGAGACTGAGCCTCGTTGGCAGGCTTGTCAGCTGAAACGAGGTAAATGCTCACCAGGGTTTAACGGCTTTTGCAGCCATAGACTTTAAGGGCGTTGATCTTTCACGCCCGTGACAGGTAGCAAAGATGCCAATCGCAGGGGGCTTGGGAGCGTGGTCAACCAGATGCTGACGTTTACCCTGCATGCCCTCAAACCCGCTTTCACAGTTTCCGTGATGAGCGTTTCGTTGCTGTACCGGAAGCCCGAGCGTGAACCCTCTGACGACCGAAGCCCCTAATTAAACCCCAACGGTCCAACGGGTAGTGTCTTCTAGATTCTCTGTCGTCCAGCGCATGTACGTAGAGTTTAGACCATGATAGAGCGTATTACCTGTCGCTTCAGGGTGCCTTGGGTGTTGAACCTGCGCACCTTCAGCTTTTTCGGCTTCGGTGAAGATTCAGCAGCTAAAGCTCGCTACCTTCAGGCCTCAACCCGAAGCTCGCAACTTCCAGAACTTGCAAAAACTTCCAGAGGCTTCCTAGCCCGAGGCCAGAAAGCCTTACACATTGACACGGCTCTCCGAAGCCGAACGTTCTTCTGAGGGTCTTTCCTTACCCAGCTCAAGTTTGGTTTGGAACAGACTCCAAGCCATGGCGATCCTTTTTGGAGATCAGCATCGCCTGTACAGCCAGTACGAGGCCTGGTATCACAGATTGGGGGGCAGGGGGGGGGGGGGGGAGAGGCGAAGGCGTTGCATGCATCCCAGATGAACGTGATGCATATCTGCTCCGAGAATCTCCGAGAAGTAGCCACCGATGAAGACATATCTGTGCTGGGCTCTCATGCAGCCAGGCACTGGTCACCTCGGGGCTTCAGATCTTGCCGACACCTGGACGAAGGAGGCCTTATTCGAGTCTGTTTTTTCAGCAGGCCGAGAGGCCTTTCAGCATCGTGGAGACTTTAGATAGAGACTGTAGATTTTGAGACTGTCGGGAAGCGCACTCATGAGCCTTCCCCTGCTCCTCCTAGAGCTTATTTGGAAGCTCATGAGTACCGAGGAACAAGTGAAAAACAGCATGCCCAAAATTCCTTGACGTCCCCCCGCAGTAACATGCTAGTTCTGGGGCGTTTCAAGTGCTGGATACCTAGACCTCGGGGCCGTCTTGTGCCTCTCGACCTCATGCTGTGGTCAGATCGATACACAGCTGGAAGTCGCAGGGCCGGGGTCGGCAACGTACCTGCGAATGCAGTTGAGACCCAACCTAAGGATTCTGTTGATTCCGGCATTGCTTACGAACATCCAGCGCGCGGCCAACTTCCAGGCCCCGCGATAGCAAGAGACAAAAACACCCCCAGCAGGCCGGATACTTCCGATACTTCCGATACTTCCATTGGCCTCAGTGGACCACGTCGTTCTTGCAATTCGTATGGCTTACCCATGTGTTGGCAGGTTGTCGGAGGTCAGGCGATGGACCTTGTCCACAGTGCCTCTGGCACGGCTCACCAACTTTGTCATTACTTGTCATTCAAGGAATCTTCAGATTCGAGCATGTTTTTGCTCAAGGCTCTCCTATACCTCAGTATCGCCAAAAAGTTCTTTCACTTAGCAATTAGCCGTCGATGATGCCGGTGACTCTTGCACATCATCTAGACACGGACATGCTTGTCTAACTTGTTGCTTTGGCTGGCCGAAGTATGGGTTGCTACATTCTATATGTTCTCGGCTGATTTCTCTTGAGTCTTCGCGCTTTTTCCCATTAAGCAGCCACGACACGAACGAAGTGAGTAATTAAGTGAATGCGTGAAAGCCATCACATGGAACAATGCATGAAGAAGATGTGTGCGAGCTAAGCTCTCTATCAGATGCTACTGTAAGGGTTCGTGGTCGCATTCGTGGCAGCTCCGCCACAACTCTTGTCCAATATCCGGTTTTGTTTTTCACATGTTCTCACACGAGTTTTTTCATTGGTACAATCAGGCGCGATGGTTTTTTGGCTTTCTTGTTGGGGCCCTGTCAGGAGTCTCCCTGGAGCGGTGCCTATGTGACGAGCAAGTACTCCACTGAAGTCCAGGAGACTGGCCTGCCTAGCGGGCCTAGCAATGGCCTAGCAGTGGCTTACCATAACATTACACGTGTAAATTTCGGGACTTTGCAGGTGGTTGATGGGTTTGGAGTGGCTGCGAAGGAGAAAGTCATGAAGGTCGTCATGACCCGACGCAAGCAGTTCGGACGGGCGCTCGCCGACTCAAGTAGCTTCATGTGCCACTTGCCTGAACCAGACCTGCACACATTGGCCTCGCAGACCTTGTTTTCATTCTTCTGCTTCAAACGTAGAAGCCGTGTAACCCACCGACCCTGTCACACGAAACTGTGCAACTGGTACAGTACGCACCGAACTCGCTTGGAGCTCTCACAGAACTCCGTAGAACGCCCAAGCCCTAACCTTCGCCTCGTCTTGGGGACCGAGGTCTGCTGTACTTTCTGTTCGTTTGGGCTCAGGCCACCTTTGTGCTCTTAGGGGTGCAAAAAGGCCAGCTTAGGGCCTCAGGCCACCTTGAAGGGATGGGCAGTTGAAGATGCTCTTTGTCACTGGCACTCTCCAAACTTGTGCTTCTCCAAGAAAAATCCCGGCTGAGCCTTCTGAGCCCTCTGAGCCCCAGCTCTGAGCCCGGAGGCAGCTCGGACGAGCCCGGCTGATGTGGCGGACTTCGATCGCCTGCTGTTGCCGGTCCACCTGGTGGTCATGTCTCCCGGATCGATGATCAGCCTGGCTACTTTAAAAAGGGTTTAGAGCTCGCGCTCCGCGCTCCAGCGGTGCAACTCTTTCGTTTCTCAAGGTGTTGCCTGACCTTTGGCGCTTGCGCAAATTTGGACTCTCTCCCCGTCTCCTGGGCTTTTGGGTTGCAAGTGGGTCATGTGGAGAGTCATTCTACACGGATCGAAAAACTCCAACGCCTAAATTTGAGCACCACAGATGCTTTGCACAACCCAAGTTAGGAGTTCTGAATTATGAGACATGTTTTCTGGACGTTGCGCTGCGGCGCTGACTTCTACTGACCTTCGCTAGTCCAGGATCACAGGCTCACAAACCCCAAACCCTTCTCCAGGTACCTGTGCGCCCTTTTCCAGGGCGGCTTCATCGAGTTTAGCGATCTGAGCAACACGTGGCTGGGAATCGCGGCTGCCTTAGCAGCCCTTCTCTGCCCAAACCATGGGCCACAACAATCCAACACCGTGGCATTTCACTGTACAGAAATGTGCGTTTGACCTAGGTGTTGATGCTACTGTTGAAAATCGAGTGTTTTTGTCATCCAACTACTTGCGAAAAACACGATTATTCTCAGAGATTCCGAGCTTGCACATTCGAACAAGTTTACATTGATGCTGGAGAGTCATGCTTCAGGGCTTCGTTTTTGTTATTACAAACACGAAATCGCCGTTAATGCGGGGCACTGGCATCATGACTGCATTTGGAGGTGACCAGAAACATCGACGTTTTTGACGGTGCAGCGACTTTGACTAAGTCCCATCAGCACCAGCCCTGTGCAGGTAAGGTGATCGGAAAAAGAGAGGCGCTGGGGGGTGCCGAGCCAGAAAAGTACACTACGGAACACGAATGGCTCAAGCTCTCTGGCATCGGCTGGAATGGAGCATTGTGTCAGCTGTGGGTCCACAGTCTCGGTGCGACACATCCTTGAAAAGAAGTGAAACGAGCAGCCAGAAGAACGTGGCACCTGAGAAGATACTCCCCTGAGTACGTTAATTTGGTGGCTGCACGCTTGTCACATACCACCATCAGTACTATCACTGGCGGCTGTCATTCGGAGAGATATGACTGGTGTGTGGGGTGGGGTGGCTTCCTCGGCCTGTCTCACTGGCTCTCTGGAAGCCCAGGCAAGGCCCTGAAATGTCCTCAACGTTAGGAGATGGTTCTGGAAGTGGAGGACATGTGGAAGAAAGCAGATAGCGGTGAAGTCAATTTGTGTCGCAAACGAGGCGGTGCAACTCCACTGGGCAAACGAAGACTGTCGTAACGTAGACCTCGATCATCCTCGATCTGAGATGGTTTCCTGGCCGAGGAGAGACCATAGCCGGCTTGGGAAAACTTTCTGCAACGCGCAGTCACATAACACATAGGCTGGCCCCCATCAGCCAGAAAAGACTAACGCACAAAATGCTGGCTCGGCAGAATCATCGCATCCAGAAGCGCCCCCAGAGCCATTTGGGAAGAGCAGGCACCCTATGGCACCCTGCTTCTCTCTGCTTCGCTCGGGTCTCCGAGCTTCACGAGTTCCAAGCCTGCCCAAAGTGTCCCAAAGCCCCCCAAAAAGTCAAGGTGCTGAATGCCACCATGATCGTGGGTCAGTTCTGCATCAACTCTTGCGCGGCCCCCAGAAAGGGCCATGGGAGGATGCGCTTTGGGTGTGTAGCTGGCTATTGGGCTTTGGAAAGTTTCTCAAAACAACGCCGCTTCGACTGAGGGTCTGATGCCGTCGCCTACCGAGAGGACGGCAGCTAAGCGTTTAGGGCTGTGGCTTTTGGACGCCTATGGGCCGGTTGGTCGGGCACTCTGCATGCTTTGCACCCTGCACATCTCCAGAGCCTGAAATCAATAGGACAGGCTTTAGGATTGTGGATTTTTGCTTCAGCGACTGTTTCGCCAGGAGCTCTTCATCGCTTGTCGGCTCTTTGCGGGGTGCATCTTTTGCGACCATCGCAAAGCACTTGGCTGTGCTGCTCGGCCAAAATCAAAACCCGTGCGGTCCAAAAGAGCAATTTAAAAAGGAGCCCGCCAAAGGTCCCAAGAGAACACTTCGAGGCCACTTGCAGGCCCCATGCTCAAGCAAACCGCTGCACCGTGTAACCTGTGTCAACCCATGAGCTTGAAGACGTTTGCGTGCAAAGTATTGGAGCTATGGGGACCCGGTGACATGGACAGAGTTTCTCAGATTGTCAAGATAGACAGCATCCCTCAAAAGGCACCTCACGGGCTGTTGCACTTGCCTTGCCTTGCATAGCAAAGCCACCACA